AATACTCACATTGAGCAAATGGTGGCGAAATTTCATCTGCACCCACTTATAAATCGCCGTCGAATAGCGGATTGCACTTATTTTGCCAAGATACTGAATAGCGAAATCAATTGCTCAGATCTTTTGCATAAGCTGTCATTTGATGTTCCGAAAAAGTCGGTTCGATTTAACCCACCAATTGCTGTCCCAACTTCTTCCTCAAATTATACACAAAACTCCTATATTGTGCGAGTGAGTAGGGATTATAATAGATTGTGCAAGGATTTAGGACTTGATCCATTTACCACAAGCAGTTCCAGGGTGCGTAGGCGACTAAACCTTAATTTTTTTGAATGAATTTCCATGTTTTATACTTGTGCATTCGCAAAACCTCTGTAAAGATATACTGTGGCTAGAACGTGGAAACCTATAATTGGCTTTGTATAAGCATATTCTGAAAATTTATTCTTTGTAATATAGCTGTTGGTTACCCAAATTAAAATTAATAAATAAATATTCATTGCAAGCATTTTCGTTTACAAAAAAAAACGACTATGACATAAAGATGCGTGCCGAAGACGAAATTTCCTATGAGTGGTTCATCAGAAACAGCTCAGGGCAGGAGATTATGGCAAGTTACTAAAGTGTGTATCACAATCACATAAGCATTCGGACTACAAATGACTACACTATAAAAAATGGCCACTTGTTCGACTTTCACATGGGGTGGAAATAATGTTTTTCGCCAATATGCTCATAAAAAAAGTAAATGCAAAGTACATTTAATGTACTTCGCTGGTGGTTTGGCGCCAACATTACTTGGATTACAAAAACGCTGTCGTGACATAAATTATAGAAAATTGTGAGTACCTATAGTAGGTAGTACATTTGCGTTAAGAATGCAGTAAGTCATCATTGTCTGTCGGCCTAGCCCCGCCCCTAAACTGATTTTTAAACTTTTTAGTGAGCTAAGTTTGGTCATCCAGGTAGGTATGGATTATACCTGTGACCACTACCTAAGTTATGTATATTGTTATGAGCTTGTTCAGGGCCGGCTTAGACGACGCTGGGACCCTGGGGCACACAATAAATCGGGACCCTTTCAATCACATTAAAGGTTACCGTTACCTAGCTTAACTAAAATCTACAAACTAAAATAAATTAATAAAAGTAACATTGGGCTATCCATAGGTAAGCATTATTTTTATAGTAATGTTCTTTTTTAAAGATCTATTTTATTAAACTGGTTTATAATATTACTAGCTGTTGCCCGCGACTTCGTCCGCGTAGAATAATGACTTCTGGCAGAATTTAGGCTTTTGAATTAGTTTTTATCAAGGGATATTCTACGGTAATGGATGTCGTCAGAATTGATTCAGTCCCGTAGATGATAGCGTGATAATATGTAGCCTATATGTTTACCAGACTTGTTAGTAATATTCATGCAAAATTTGAAATAGTAGTGCAGTACTTTTTGAGATCATCACGGCCATACATACAGACAAACAGACAAAAATTCTAAAAACCACATTATTGGCTTCGGTATCGATTAGAGATCACGCTTCAAATATTCTTTTAAAAAATATTCAATGTACAGTTTTGACTTTTCTACGATTTATTATATGTGTAGATAGCTGTTGCCCGCGACTTCGTCCGCGTAGATTAATGACTTCTGACAGAATTAACCAGAATCAATTCAGTGCCCAAGTAAGATTTACCTATTTTGAAATGATTTATCGTAGTTTCAATAAATAAATAATCCCGCAGGGATCTTACCAGTACAGTGCCCGATCACGTAAGGTTTGAGTAATAAAAACTATTCTATCGACTATTGTTGTACCGAATCTCTCTAGAATAAGTTCAGTGGTTAAGAGTTAGAGAGTCCTGGGGCATTGACGCATAGTTCCCGTTCTCGTGAGACATCTGTGAAAAAACTATCATACGTTACCCAGGTCCCAAATCATCGTTTTACCGAATGTAATTCAAAAAGATTCAATGATTCTAAATTCAACGGCTAAGAAGATTTATACAAACTCTCATTCCCTATTTTATCCCCTTAGGGGTGGAATTTATCAAAATCCTTTCTAAAGAGATACCTATGTCATAGTAACTTTATGCATGCAAAGTCTCAGCCCGATCAATTTAAAACTGGCAAAGTATCATACTTTGGGGTGAGAATGTTCAAAAACCTTTCTAAAGGGACGTTTACGTCATAATATCCATCTGCACGCCGAATTTCAACCCGATCGGTGTAAAACTGACAAAGCCTCACACAAACGTTCATCCCCTATTTTACCCCCTTGGTGGAAATTATCAAAATCCTTTCAAAGCGGATGCTTACGTCATAACATCTATCTGCATGCCAAATTTCAACCTGATCGGTTTAAAACTGACAAAGGCTCATATAAACTTTCATCCCCTATTTTACCCACTTGGGGGTGGAAATTATCAAAATCCTTTCACAGCGGACGCCTACGTCGTAACATCTATCTGCATGCCAAATTACAACCCGATCGGTTTAAAACTGACAAAGGCTCATATAAACTTTCATCCCCTATTTTACCCACTTGGGGGTGGAAATTATCAAAATCCTTTCATAGCGGACGCCTACGTCGTAACATCTATCTGCATGCCAAATTACAACCCGATCGGTTTAAAACTGACAAAGGCTCATATAAACTTTCATCCCCTATTTTACCCACTTGGGGGTGGAAATTATCAAAATCCTTTCATATCGGATGCTTACGTCATAACATCTATCTGCATGCCAAATTACAACCCGATCGGTTTAAAACTGACAAAGTCTCATACAAACTTTCATCCCCTATTTTACCCCCATTGGGGGTGGAAATTATCAAAATCCTTTCACATCGGATGCTTACGTCATAACATCTATCTGCATGCCAAATTACAACCCGATCGGTTTAAAACTGACAAAGTCTCATACAAACTTTCATCCCCTTTTTTACCCCCTTGGGGGTGGAAATTATCAAAATCCTTTCTTAGCGAATGCCTATGTCATAACATCTATCTGTATGCCAAATTTTAGCCCAATCTGTCCAGCGGTTTGGGCTGTGCGTTGATAGATCACTATGACAGTCAGTCAATCAGTCAGTCAGTCAATCACCTTTGAATTTTATATGTATAGAAGAAGAAGATATTATTTAAGTTACATGTTGTATAGATATATATATATATGCACCTCTGCCTACTGAGACCTAGAGGTGCATAGTATGCCACTGTACAATGTACGGCCCACTTTTCACTGTTTATGTTATGGGTCCCATGTAATATTGCTATGGCAATAGGCTCAATTACCGGGCAAATACCGGGCACAATTCTAGACTCCGAGCTACTACTGAGATTTTTTTTTATAAACCCAATAAATCTTTACCCGACCCGGGAATCGAACCCGAGACAGGGGGTCTCGGGTTCGATTCCCCGGCAGTCGCACTTGCGACCACTCGGCCAATGAGGCAGCCACAGTTATGCATGCACGGCTAAAACCATCATACATAACCTAGCGTGTATGGCCTCCTTTACATATATTATGTGCAATCCTTCAGAGATAAAAGCCGGACTTACCCAACTTGTTTCATAATTTACATAATCTCCCATTAATATGGGATACGCAAAAGATTTTCTTGTGACTACACTGCTATGAATTTGAGATATTTATTTTTGTTTTTAAAAATCTTAGACTACTACTACTAGACGGTACTCGTCGAGTACCGTCATTATAGACACAATTATAAAACAATAGGTTGCGGTCACCGGTGACCGCTTGGTTTATGACAGATTAAATTCCTGTTCTAGAATTGCAATATTTAACAAGCTCGACGTGCAGGAGAAGGAACAGGGTGGTTTTAGTCAGTAAGAGTCTGACACTCACTCCCACCTCATCCAGGCAGGAGCAGTCATTCGATGATTTTCACCCTTAAAAAAAAGTATATTGTATACCTCAATGAATAATTCATGTCTTCATCATGCATCATCAAACCCAATTACACTCCATCAAGGGTAAAGTTTTCACCAAAAGAAATAATTCAAGCAAACCCAATCCAAACACGAGTCGCGGAGAACCTAACGGGTAACCGGGGCTCCGGCTCGACGTGCAGGAGAAGGAACGGGGTGGTTCTTAGTCAGTAAGAGTCTGACTCTCCCTCCCGCCTCACCCAGGCGGGAGCAGTCATTCGATGATTGGCCCCCCTTAAAAAAAAAAAAATCCCAAACACGAGGTCAAAGGTGACCGCGATGAATTCCCTCAACTGTCGTTTGGCTCCATCATCTGATCGTCTCCAGACCGTTATCAAATTGTGAGTTAATTAATGTTTTTGACAATTTGACCTAAATAATTGCCGCCATATGTATCAGTGTTACCATACCAATTTCTTTTCACTGTTCCCTTCTCATCATGAGTTCTATAAAGAGGGGAAAACTGAAAATTATCTCACTTGCTTGCGAACTAAAAATAAATGAATACCTACTTTTATAATTTATTTAATTTATACTAACATTCGATTTAATGAATCATTTATTGTAACCGACTAAAATAAGAAGGTTTGTTTCGATTTCCAACAGTTACTTTGAAATGATTGGATCGATTATTTTTTGTGGAAAGGATGCAATAATATTTACTAAATTAGTTTTATAAAAATAATGTTAATAGTGTCTTAATATGAATATTTATTTATTGTTTCCATATTAAATACTAAAATAACGATGAAAATGACAACAAAAATAACTAAAAAAGCAATAAAAATATTAAGAACTCAAAAACAATACCAAAAAAAAAATTATGACACAATTCAAGAACTCTGCGTATACAGAAACGTAGAGCAGAACGTTTCTAAGAATTAGTTCCCAAACCATTCACAACTATTTTATCTTGGCTTGGCAGCACTTTAGTTTGTGAGCCGCCCGCCATTTTAGTCATCGCTGATTGGATAGGGGCTTCGTGTCGAGTGTTGTTTGTTTTTACGCCACTTCCGCTTACGTTCAATTGGCTACCCTGAATACTAAAACGGCACGGCAGCGGCGCTGCCATCTTTGTATTTAGCGTTTCGGCTTGGCGCCTTTCCTGTGTTGGTTATTCACTGTCTGTAGTGGTCATAGTGTTACACGTTTCAAAATGGTGAGTTTTGCAAGATTTTGTGAAATATAGTTATCGTTATAGTGATTTTATAGTGTAATTTGGTGGACAGTAGTGTTATTTACTTACTGGCGAAGTTTCAACTCCGAACAAGAAAAATTAATAGGTTTTTTCGTCAATTTTAGGCTGGCGGTAAAGCGGGTAAAGATTCTGGTAAGGCTAAGGCCAAAGCAGTATCCAGATCGGCGAGAGCTGGACTTCAGGTAAGTTAATTAGTTATCATAATTTAAATTAGGATTTTTAGTGATAAATACACACTTCGTTTTGTATGTTATCTCCAATTCAATAAATTGAATAATATGAATGACCTCTCCATCAGTATGGCGGCGACCATTACACCGTAGAGAAATAATCAATACTGTAGAAGTATATTATAAAATGTAATTTCAGTTTCCCGTGGGAAGGATTCACAGACATCTCAAAAATAGGACTACGAGTCATGGACGTGTTGGAGCAACAGCAGCAGTGTATTCTGCAGCTATTCTTGAATATCTTACAGCCGAGGTAAGCTTTGCGACGCCCTGTCAATATGGCGGCATAACATACTGCGTTATAGTAATTTACGTACACTTTTTAATATAATCCCGAATAAAAGTGTAGTGGCTGTGGAATAATATAGTACATCGTTGTATTTTGGTATTTTCGATGTTTACGGATTTTTCTTTTTAATTTTTGCTGTGCATATTTATGACAAGGTATTTTTTGTTTTTGGCGGGAAATGTTGTAATATACATTCGGACGGAACAAACTTTATTATAATGAAGTAATGTTTTAAATAATCAATTTCTTTGTTATCAGCACCAGTAAAATACACTTATCCATTCACTAGGTATTTATGTAATTGTTTTATCAATTTCAGGTTCTGGAGTTGGCGGGAAATGCATCTAAAGATCTTAAGGTGAAGCGTATCACACCGCGTCATTTGCAGCTGGCCATCCGAGGAGACGAGGAACTTGACAGTTTGATAAAGGCCACAATCGCTGGTGGCGGTGTCATCCCTCACATACACAAATCGCTGATTGGCAAGAAAGGCGGTCCTGGCGCACCCGTTTAAAAATAGGTAAAAATCTTTGTATATTATTGGTTCATGTTATAGAGTTATTTAATTATTTGAATGAATAACATAAATAAAATCTCCTTGCTTAACAGATTAATCTTGTGCACTACTGAAAATATGTACATGATATGTACTGTTTGTGCTTAGGCACTGCACAATGGTAGATACTTCCAGTTATGAACACCAAACACTTCAATATTAAGCATGTTCAGGGTGTGCATGATTATGATTTCAAGGTGTCATTTGTAGCTTCTGTCCAACAAAAGATTTACTGATACTGATAACATACTAAACTTTATGTAAGCTTTGTGTTCCTTTAATTGAAGGTGTCATAAAAACTCAAGAAAATCTTTATAAAAAATAACATAACAGAAATCTAAATCATGACAAAACAACACAATATGTACATCATAACAAAAGGGTAAAAAGTTAGGGCAGTCATCCTAAAATGAGAACAAAGGTAAAATACCTCATTTAAATTTATAATACAAAACAAAATGAATTGAAAATAAATTATGTATTCATAAATCTATTAGTTCTTACAGTACATATTAACAAACAATTAATAGATTCTATTTGTTTGTTTTAAAGTGGAAATTTTTCAGGGCTAAACACTTTCATAGTAAGTACCTTTCAAGTTGTTCTCATAACTAAAATATATGACCAGTTTTAATCCTAAAGTTAAACTGTCAGCATGTCAAAAACCTTGAATCAGTTTTTGACTAGGATCAGTTACAAATTGGGTTATTAACTCGTCGAGTACCGGTTTTGTAGACACAATGATAGAACAATAGGTTGCGGTCACCGGTGACCGCTTGGTGTTTGACAGTTTAATGCACTAGCTACTATACAATTGCTGCTTGGCTCCTATTGATTATAGCATGATGTTTTATATTTTATAGCCTTCCTCAATAAAAGGATAGCCCATTTACATTCTAACACAAAAAAACAGGGATTAGCACTACATGTACAATAATACAATTTTTTTTTTCTTTGGCAACAGAGTCTCCACAATAATACTTATATTGTGGGATCAATCCAGGAAATTATGTCTAACACAAACTGTACCTGACATTAGTGGAGGATTTGCCTTACAGTTCTCTATTGACTGTCAAAGACTTGAAATTTAATTTCTATCAATAATTTGTTACTTGTTTATAGGTCAGTGTCTCCTAAAGATTAATACATAACTTCACGCCTGTCTCCCATGGGGGTAGGTAGAGACTATTTAACATTATTTGCTTTCATATCTTACATACCTCTTTCACTGCATCAATAGTCTCCTAAAGATGTGACTACAATATGCGCTAATTGAAGATTTATTATTCACACAGTTATAAAGCTATATATCTTATTAAGATTAAAATTTTTATTAAAAACGAATTTTAAATTATCAAATGATACTCTAAACCCATCAGATTTTAGGTAATGAAAACTACAATTAATTTCATTAAAGAATTACTTAACTCGTCGAGTACCGGTTTTGTAGACACAATTATAGAACAATAGGTTGCGGTCACCGGTGACCGCTTGGTGTTTGACAGTTTAAATAGATCGAATTAAAGTATGAAAATGGAGGGCTGGTACGGTTTATCTATTTTTAGAAAAACCTATATTGTGTTGTTTTTGGCAATAAAAGGTTATTTTTAAATATTTCTTTGTTTACAGGTTAACTACAATACCACCTTGCTGCATTTGACTCCGGACATGTTTTCTATGAAACTCAGCTGATTGACAAATTGTTTCATAAATGTTAGTGACATTAACAGTGGAGTGTTTCCAGGGAACTGTTGTGTCCGGACTAAATCGTTTAGTAGTTTATAAGTACTAGAAATATTTTAGTGTTAAGAAGATTTAATATGATTGTTTGTGGGACATGATATTTTTCTAACATGATTGTTTGATTGATGAACAACTTATTAAAATTATTTGCTATGTACCAGTTAAACCAGATGTCTGCTATTGTCTCAGAAGCTGGTGCATCTTGATTTTTAGTTAACATTTTAGCAAGTTCTTTATGAATGTAAATGACGAATTGTAATTTGGTATGAAAGAAGTGTTACAAGTTGTACGAAATGTATTTTGATCTTTGAAATATATTGACAAAACACCTGTGCCATTTTTTTATTAAAAATTAACGATAGGTAGGTACCTATTTACTCCTAGATAGTATTTTAATTGCGCAAAAAGCATGTCTGAAACGTGCACACATGCCAACTGTAAAGAAAGTCAATGACAATTATTTGATTTTCTATACCTCTATATATTTTCTATGAGGTAGAACTGGAAAGCACTGGATGTTATTATACAGGTGGAATTTTGTAATGCCACTTGAAAGGGAAGTAGTCAATACTTTAGATATAAAATTATACTGCCTCGTTGGCCGAGTGGTCGCAAGTGCGACTGCCGGGCAAGGGGTCTCGGGTTCGATTCCCGGGTCGGGCAAAGTATTATACTGGGTTTAAAAAAAATCTCAGTACCTAGTAGCACGGAGCCTGGAATTGTGCCCGGTATATGGCAATAGGCTCACCCCTATTACATGGGACTCATAAATAGTGAAAAGTGGGTGTTACATTGTACAGTGGCATAATGTGCACCTCTGCCTACCCCTTCGGGGATAAAAGGCGTGATGTTATGTTATGTTTATAGAAAATTATGCTCAAAGAAAACATTCCTTTATTTTTGAAAGAAACAAAATGCATATATAAATATTCAAAACTGCACAACTGAGGGTACAACCACACGGGCGGAGCCGCTGCGGTTTTCTAATACAAAAAAATCATTGTAGCCACATGGCGCCATGCGCCGCGCGCATTCTAGACGAGGCGGGGAGGGGTGTAAGCAGAACGAAGCCGGAGACAGCTCTGCGATGTTTCTGCAGCCAGAACTATTCTTGACTTATAGTCCCATGTCCCCTAGATGGGGCAGAGGGCGTCCACAGAGGTTCTCCATCTCGATCGATCTTGAGCTTCTCGCTTCACCTCGCTCCACGTCATTCCGATGCTCGCCGCCTCTGCTATCACAGTACGACGCCAGGTTTGCCGAGGGCGGCCACGCTTCCTTTTTCTCTGGGGATTCCAATCCAGCGCTTGCTTGGAAATATGGTCGGGACCCCTTTGGAGCGTATGGCCTATCCATCCCCATTTGCGACGTTTGATCTGATGGTCGATCGGAGTTTCGCGGCATCTCTTAAGAACTATTCTTAGGCTACCCAAAATCAGCTACGGCGTCCTTAGGCGTGTTTACGACTGCCGAGGCAGATCTCAGGCGCCCAAAGCCGCCCAAAGTCGCTCGACGCAGCTCCAAGGCGCCCAAAGCCGCCCGAAGCCGGCGTAATGCGCTCGAGCTCTACCGAGCTGCACCGATGCCCACCGATAGTGGGCGCCAGGCACATATATATCTATGTCTGTAGCGCCGGGGCTTATTGTTGCAAACAAACCTGACATTGTGGTGATAGATCGACCACGCCGTCGCACAATGACAGTTGATATAACAATCGCGACATGTGGGATGTGGATTCAGCAGTCATTGTGCCGATAGTCGTATCTGCCAATGGCCTAATTTGCTTTTGCTTTTTATATTTTTAAATGTTTTGTTTTTGTAATCAAATATTTAAAAATATAATTGTAAGTCAAGTAGGTATAGATTCCGATTCGGAGTCGCGGAGAACCTAACGGTTTACGGGGGCTCCGGCTCGACGTGCAGGAGAAGGAACGGGGTGGTTTTTAGTCAATAAGAGTCTGACAGCCCCTTCCGCCTCACCCAGACGCACCCCCTATACTTATTATACTTTTTGCCAAGACGGGAGCAGTCATTCGATGATTTTCCTCCCTTAAAAAAAAAAACCACTGATAATAATATGATAAGTTTATAAATCTATACTGTACCAAACCATTATAAATTGTATAGTCTATGAGCATAACCTACTATGGAAGGAATCAATTAAAAAATAATCTATGGACGGACCGTACACTACCTAAAGATGTCGCGGAGAACATAACTGGTAACCGGGGCTCCGGCTCGACGTGCAGCAGAAGGAACGGGTGGTTTTTTTTAGTCAGTAAGGGTCTGACACTATCTCCCGCCTCACCCAGACGGGAGCAGTCATTCGATGATCTTACCCCCTTGAAAAAAAAAGACTACTTAGACATGGTTACATATATATCTATAGGTAGATATCTATACTAGTAGTATAAAACTGAAGAGTTTGTTTGTTTGAACGCGCTAATCTTCGTAACTACAAGTCTGATTTGAATAATTCTTTTTGTGTTAGATAGTGCATTTATCGAGCATGGCTATAGGCTATAAAACGTCACGCTACGACCAATAGAAGCTGAGCAGAGCGGCGTGGGAAACCGCGCGGAAGTAGCTAGAATAATTATATAAAGTGTAAACATAGAGTAAATAAAGTAAACTCATAGAGTAACCCATTAACTAAACTGACAACTGATTTGACGGCTCTCTGCTGGAGTCTATGGTGTGAGTGGATTGATTTGACAATTTTGACATAAATACGTGACTACAGCAAGACTACAGTGAAACAGTGATGCTATGCTGAACTTTGCCGTGTTCTTTATTAAATTCAACTTAATCTGAATTTGTTTATATTCTATTTAGTAATAATACTAAGAACATTATTTAAAATAAGGAAAACTGTGCTCTCCGTACCTGTACCAGTGCTACAAAAAGCGTTGAGTTATTGCAATGAGTTCAAGACATCGTGAACGCGATAGAAGTCGTTCTAGATCTCGTGACCGCGAAAGGGATAGGCATAAGGAACGAGACCGCGAAAAGACCAGAGACCGTGACCGCGATAAGGATCGCGAGCGAGACCGGGACAGGGACCGCGATCGCGACCGTGATCGCGATAGGGACAGGGACCGCGACCGGGACCGTCATCGCTCCAAGAGGTACGTGACTACGTGTTTGCAAGTGTACGGCCGAACGTACTCAGTGTAGCATAATGACCAGTATGTTCTGCAGGGACAAGGAGCGCGATCGCAGCCGGAGCCGCGACCGCCACAAAGACAAGCGCCGGAGCCGCACTCGCTCGCGCACCCGGAGCCGCAGTCGCAGCCGGAAGTCTAAAGATAGGCAATATATTGTTCTATGTTTCTACGCTCCACTCTTTACTTGTTTACTATTTCAAACATGTACTTTAAAAGCCCACAACCATTACATTACACAGTCAATGAGTTGTATCAGTTGATCACAATGGAGTAGGTATTGTATAACAAGTTTCAGTAAGGTTGACTGTTAGAGAATGCCATTTGGCATTGTCAGCTTTGCTAGATTTCCCATGTTTGTGTCTGAAGTAACTTGTATATAAGAAATATGTGTGTAATACTGAGTCACTGGTCACAGAGATGGGACAATAGCCCTGCTGGACCAGATGGTGGGCACCACAACCAAGGCGACAGCGCGGCAGGTGACCAGTAACGGCGCCATCAACCCCGCCACGCAGGCTGCCATCCTCGCCGCCGCAGCCGTCGCACAGGTCTCCTCCACCACCTTTGCAATCTTTTTGTAACACTGTTATATTCTTCATCTTATGGGTATTGCAAAACTTGGAACTGTTGAAACTGAAAAGTAACTAAATCAATACTAATAATTTGTATAAAATATGTAAGTAGTTATCATGTTATTTTTCTACCTATACTTACATACATGATTATTATGGTGATAATGGTTCCAAGTCTGTGTCAAAACGTCAGTTAATCATACACATGTGAAAGGATAGATGCACTTTGGTATGTACAATTTATGGTCAAATAGTATTGGAGAAGGCGATCGGAGGCGACCATAAACACTCAGTTGTCTTTGTAAATCTTGATTGTGTATTGTGTACAGGCAATTTATTTACTACTCAGGGGATTGCTTGTACATAGGTTATATACTCAAAAATAGAAGATCGGTACTTTGTGTTTCACATAAACAAAGAATAACTTAAAATGAAGGCAACCAACATTTAGGTTTGTTTAAAGTAAATTATTTTGATTTTATTTGCTCAGTGTGCTACAGATCAGTTGAATGTCATGATTTCATGCCCTCCTTTAATTTTTTCTTTCCCTATAATATTTTGATATTGCTTTCTTTAGTTGGCTAGAGGGTGCGATAGAGGCATTCGCTTTGTTTTTGTTTGTTTCGGTTTGTGTTGACGAATGTGTCGGTGTTGCGCGCGGCGTAACAGACGTTTGTGGCGCAGCGTCGCATGGCGGCGCCCGTGCAGCCCGCCGCCGCCGCCGCCGCCGCGCTGTCGGCCGCCACGGCCATCCCGCCGCCCACCTCCGTGCAGCAGAAGCTGGAGCTGCTGCAGGCGCGCGCCGACAGCCGCTACCGCCCCGAGCGGCCCGAGCGCCACGACTACCACCCCGACGACGACCAGGACGACGGGCTCGGCCCCGCCGGCGAGACGGCGGCCGAGCGGCGCGCGCGGCGTAGGCGCACGCGCTGGATGGGCTCGGAGCACGACAAGACGTTCATCCCCGGCCTGCCCACCGTGCTGCCATCCACGCTGACGCGCGAGCAGGAGGAGCAGTACTTGCGTGAGTAGTAGCGCCAGCCCTAGCGCCCGCAGCGGCGGCCGCGCCCGGTCCCGCGGGTCGCGACCATGGGAAAGTCGCGACCGGCCCGCGAGCGCGGCGCGAGCGCCGGCCGTGCTCGCAGCGCCGCGCCTGCCGCCGCCGGCGCGTCCCGGCCGCTCTCTGCTCGGGCCCGACACGGGAACTCCGTCAGGTTACGGTAGAGATGTTTCCTTACTCGATAAATTGCTTTCACTAGAATTGTTCTCTCATTCGTGATACGATTTTTTATTTAATAATCAATTTAATAAAAAGGATATGCTAATTGATGTAAAACAATAATGATTTCATTAACTGCTATCTCGCATTAAATTACTAGAATTGTTTTTTACATAAAACCATAACTCATTGAATGTAACTCATTGGAAACATCTCTACTGTGATACATTGCTTCATGTGTTGAAGGTTTTCATTTCCTATCTTATTGAATATTATTATGTACAGGTGAATTTTACATGGTGTTTATGAACTAAACTTATCTTTCTTTTCCAATATGGACATTACAATATCTTGCATACAATACTATTATATTGGTGCCGTGTTGAGATAGGCTACTAGTATCACTTAGTTTGGACTACTAAAGATTTATAGTTGTGTATTATCATATTTGAAAGGGACTGCAATGCTACAGCAATGGCTTTACTTGTTTTCCGAGACACGAGTTTGAAACACCGCATATATTAATTATTATTACCGCATAGGTTCTGTTCCATACTGTAACAGCAGGTAATGTTGTGTTAATGCTTTTCTGGACAGTCGAACCTCAAACCTTTTGAGCCGCAGTCACCCTAGACTAAACTCACTAGTACATATTTAGAAAGTAACAGAAATGTCGTAGCCTTCGGTAGAGGCCGCTAGAGGTCGGTAGCGGCGTTAGGCAGTGGGTCAGTATTCTAATGGCGCGGAATGGCCCGGTCGGCTCACCCGTTCCCTTGCAGTGCAGCTGCAGATCGAGGAGGTGTCGCGCAAGCTGCGCTCCGGGGACCTCGGCATCCCCGCCAACGTCGACGAGAGGTGCGTGCTGTATTTCCATACGGGTGAAAGGAAAGCAAATATTACAGCTCTCAGTTTGTAATGTCATTAAGGTGACTGGATACGTGATGGCGCACGAACTGCGCGACGTATCTCGGGTTCGATTCCCGCACTATGTTTATAATACCTGACATGGCCCCGTCGTAGCTCGCGGAGCGTGGGGCGTCCCAGTCTTACTACTAATGCGCGATTTTCTATTTGCAGGTCGCATACAGATTAATACTAATGATTCAATTAATTAACTAAACTCATTCATAATTTTCAGCCACTACAGCTCAATTGTATTAATATAAATTATTTTCAGGGCTAATGAGCTTCATTAAAATTTCAGGAACAAATTAATTGAATTATTTTTCCCAAGCGATAGGTTCTAGGTGCTAAAGTCCGGTCGCCGAGCACGAACAATGTCTTACATGATCCGTCACTACCGTACTTGTGTTATTAGTAGAGGCCGACCGCCTCAGTCAGTCATGGAATTCAGTAAAAATATACTTTATGAAATAGTTTGACTTTTGTTTTATTAGTTTGCTGAGTAAACAGATGTAAACAAAGCTTAATAGAACATGTACGAAATGAAATAAAATCTATATTTATTTTATTTATATAAAGCTTATAGAAATTAATTTTAACATCTTAATTCAATAATATCAAGTTATTAGGTACATAGTATATCTTCTCTGTGTGAGAAGAGGCCTTTGCTCAGCAGTGGACATTTATGGATTGTTGATGTGCTGTAATGTGACATTGGTATAGGTACGTGAAACCACTTTGCTTTATTTAGAAAAATTGTTTTATCGTGATGTCTTTACATAACATAACTTCTTAGAAATCCAAACACTTATTAGCACATTATAAAGAAAAGTATCCAACCAATGACACAAGGTCATTGTATGAAATTGTCGGTGATCGGCGGGCGGACTGTAGAGTAGGATACGAGTGCAGTATATACAGTGTGTAGTATGTACAGTATGCACAGTGTATAGTATGCACAGTGTACAGTATGTAGAGTATGTGTGCTAGGTCCCCGTCGCCGGAGCCCATCTACTCCACGGACGGGAAGCGCCTCAACACGCGCGAGTACAGGACGCGCCGCAAGTTGGAGGAGGAACGACATCGACTCGTCACCCGCATGCATCAGATCAATCCTGACTTCAAGCCGCCGCCCGACTACAAGTACGCCGTGTGTGTGTGTGTGTGTGTGAGGGTGTGTGTGTGTGTGTGAGTGAGTGTGAGTGAGGGGGTGTGTGTGTGTGAGTGAGTGAGTGTGAGTGTGTGTGTGTGTGTGGGAGAGAGTGAGTGCGCGCGTGTGTGTGTGTGTGAGAGAGTGTGAGTGTGAGTGTGTGTGTGAGAGAGTGAGTGAGTGAGAGTGAGTGTGTGTGAGTGTGGGTGTGTACAGTATATATATGACGCCGCTGTGTGTGCAGGCCGCCCATCATCCGCGTGCACGATAAGGTGATGATCCCGCAGGAGGAGCACCCCGACATCAACTTCGTGGGACTTCTCATCGGACCGCGCGGCAACACGCTCAAAGGTCAGCTCCGTCGTACCACTAATCTGAGATCCATGTGTTAGCTCGGTCACTCTCAAACGTCCGTTCGATTCTTCTACTCGTAGCCATGGAGAAGGAGACTGGAGCCAAGATAATAATTCGCGGCAAGGGCTCCGTGAAGGAGGGCAAAGTGGGTCGCAAGGACGGACAGCCCCTGCCGGGCGAGGACGAGCCGCTGCACGCCTACATCACCGCCACTAACGCTGACTGCGTCAAGAAGGCCGTCGAGAAGGTGAGAGCCACGTCCCCCCTCCCCCCCACGTCCCCCCCCCGAGCACGTAATGAGGTTGCCGGTGTCCACAGATCAAAGAGGTGATCCGTCAAGGCGTGGAGGTCCCGGAGGGCCAGAACGACCTCCGCCGCATGCAGCTGCGGGAACTGGCGCAGCTCAACGGCACGCTGCGGGAGAACGACGCCGTGCGCTGCGCCAACTGCTCCGCCACCGACCACAAGACGTGGCTCGTGAGTACTTGGGCTCGCGCGTACCGGACTGTGGCGCGCGATACTTAACGGATACATCTTGTGTGCAGTGCCCGGACAAGCCCAACGTCACCAACAGCATCGTGTGCTCCTCGTGCGGCGGAGCCGGACATATTGCACGAGACTGTCGAGCCAAGCGACCCGGCCAGGGCACGCTGCACTCCACCTCCAACAAGGTAATACGCGCGACTGTCGAGCCAAGCGACCCGGCCAGGGCACGCTGCACTCCACCTCCAACAGACTCGCTAGATTATCAGTAGATATCTATAGAATAATTGTACCGATTATTATCTGTACAATTTGTGAATGGTCAATGTCAATTAAGGAATTAAATCTACCTTTCTGTATAATTATTATTTGAAATGTATAACGCCCTTATTAAATGATTATTTCTTGTAAAAAGCCAGATTACAAAATAAATCTTATTACCTAAAGAAATTTATGTAAAAAATAATTGCAAATGACTGTCACATACTATTTGAATTGAAATCCGGCCAGGGCACGCTGCACTCCACCTCCAACAAGGTAATACGCGCGACTGTCGAGCCAAGCGACCCGGCCAGGGCACGCTGCACTCCACCTCCAACAAGGTAATACGCGCGACTGTCGAGCCAAGCGACCCGGCCAGGGCACGCTGCACTCCACCTCCAACAGACTCGCTAGATTATCAGTAGATATCTATAGAATAATTGTACCGATTATTATCTGTACAATTTGTGAATGGTCAATGTCAATTAAGGAATTAAATCTACCTTTCTGTATAATTATTATTTGAAATGTATAACGCCCTTATTAAATGATTATTTCTTGTAAAAAGCCAGATTACAAAATAAATCTTATTACCTAAAGAAATTTATGTAAAAAATAATTGCAAATGACTGTCACATACTATTTGAATTGAAATAAATAATTATATACGCTCACGGCTGTGTATGATGTTGCGTGCAGGCCAAGATAGACGAGGAGTACCTGTCGCTGATGGCGGAGCTGGGCGAGGCGGCGCCGGGCGGGCCGGGCGGCGCGGGCGGCGCGGCGCGGCG